TTTTCTCCAGTTTTGTGTTGATATTACACGAATCAGTGACTATAATTACAGAATCCTAGGAAATTCATTTTTAGATATGACACAACATAATTTTCCCAAAATTTGCAACAAATGCTAGCTTATTTCCTTTTAGTCTATTTCTAGAAAACAGGTTACAGAGATTGAGACTTACTTGTCCATAATCTGCTAAAAGGAAGTGTCGAATGAAACTGAGAATCATGGACAAAGCTGAGACTTACAAAATCAGTATAGTGAAAGGGTAGGAGGGCAATCTTAGTTTTTTAAAAACATCATAAAATAAGTACAATTCAAGTTTTACTAAAAGCAACAAAAATGCATATAGTGGGGAAAAACATCTCATTCACTAGAATAGCAAGTGCTATGAAAGAGCCATTTGAGAATATTTTGTTCTGTGTTGGTATTTACTCCAGAGTTGGTAGTACGTAGAAAAAAAAATAGAATTTTTAAGGGATACACTACAATAACCACCACCGTACAGACAGGGATTTGTGGTAGTGTTGAAAGCTGCCTGTGGAAAACCTTTTTTTAACCACATTAAATATTAAAAGGTTTTGCTTAAAAAGCTCAGAAGCTACCCAACATCATCATGTAAACAGTGGTGACCTGAGGAAGTGAGAGTTGTTTTAAAAAGCCACACCATGTGATCTTCTGGCCCAGTTTTTATGCTGAATATACTGTGTAGAGGTGCTTCATTTTTTTTTCAAGGTGTTCTTGCTGCCTTCATTGATTTTGGGGGGTGAGATAAGAAGTGGAGTAGAGAGTGATGTTTTACCTAAGCCACGTCCCACTTGTCCCTGTTAGTTTCAGCCTGTGAGAGAGTAGAGGGGAGTAAAACAAGTCCTTTGACCTCATAAGTAATCCACATCGGGACGAACAACCCATCACCACCACTGGATGAGACTTCAGCACAGGTGAAACAAAACACTGATCTGAGCTTCATATGCTTATTTTTGGACTTAGGAGAAAAGAAATAAGTGGCTTAGAATGAAGAGGAATAAAATACTAGTTTTTAAAAGCCTCCTTGGCTGAATGAATTACTGAAAACTGGGACCATCTGTACTTGAGTAAATACAAATTGAATTTATTTTGACAGTTTGAGAATTTTCCTTGGATTTAATTTGTTATATTCAATGGAGGCAAAAAACAAACAAACAAACAAAAACAACAACAACAAAAACACCACCTCTAACCACCACCCTCCCCCACCCCGCCCAAACATCCAAACCAAAGCAAACTGAGCACAAAAACCCTATAGTTGTCAACAGTTGGCTTTACAGGGAGAAAGGGAAGGGTCATCCATTTACAGAGTGTGTCATACATGCAGGTTCCTGTCCATTCTTCCCTGCGCATGACTCATCACAGTGAAGTGTGAGGTATAAGTGGAATCCACAGTTGAAAGCAGCCCAGTATGTAAGTACAAAACTGATTAAACCACAAAAATCATTTTACTGTGGCATCCTGTCTCCAAAAGCTGTATCATTAGAATTTGACTAGATACATGATCACTGGCATTTAAACCTTTGTGGTAATTAAAAACAAAAACAAAAACAAAAAAAAAGGTTGTGGCAAAGCCACAGAAGCCAGTTTTTGAGGAGTGCAATTTCAGAAATCGTAGATCAAAACAAATTGTCCAAAGAATCCATAAATACATCCAGGTATGCCTTGATTTATTGAAAAGACATATCCCAATGACTCCACTTTCAAAAATATAAATCAAAGTGTGTTTTAAATAAACTAGATGCAATTAAACTTGATTTTAACTACCACATAGTGACTCTCTTCTGAATAAAGGCAAATAAGCCTTTGGTGTATGTGCAAATTACTTTTTTGCTACATTAGTTCCCCCAAGGCATGCCTACTTTTGTCACAACCTTTCAGTAGTCCCCCATTGTCTGAAAGATCAATTATAACTTTGCTCCCACTACCCAGCCCAACCCATGGCTGGACTTCAAGTTTTTTATTCAGTTGGTATAGACTCCTCTTCCTATTAGGTCACTCATCTTTAATAAGCAAGATCTTAAATCTGTCTCTGTTACTGTAAAAGTAATATATGCACACAAGGACATAAAACAAAAAGGCTGCTGCCTTATGTCTTGTTGCTCTGGTCCCCCTCCCCAAAGATAATCACTGCTAACAGCTTCATATGTCAGAAAAAGTCTCGTTTCATGTCTACACAAACCAGATAAACAACCATTGACTCAAAGTTCACTTTTGCTCTGAGCTCCTTCACAAGTTCTCCCACATTCTGCTCCATGCTATCTCTTCCCCTATTAATTCCTTTAACATTAATAAGTACGCTGTCACATACTGACCCGTTTCTATTTTTCAACTAGCTTTATCTCCTTTTGCCTTTTTAACAATATATCTTTATAGATCTATAATGGCCTTTAGCATGGTGCTGGGCACACAATGTAAATTATAAAAACACCTGTCCGATGAATGATTTAAACATTCTGAATTGTCAGTACAGCTCACTTTCCTTTTTCTGCTGTCATGGAAGAGGCTTTTCACACACAAACAATGCCGAGTCAGATATTTCTTAATGGCCTACTACTCTTTGCTGAAAGGAAGTGACTGTTTATGAGTGTTATTAGTAGCTGGGCTCTGATCCAGAAATCTGTTTCTGGAGAAATACAGTATATTTTATTTTTAGCTATGAATGGGGTATACATTTTGTTTGCTTCTTTAAAATAGTAGGCTGCTCTGATAAAATATAGTTATGGGTAGAAAACAATATACAATTGTTTCTTTTAACATATTATTGGGAAGAAACAAAGAAAAAAACCCACTTTGTGTCAGAAAACAAGGAGGTGCTCAAAGACGAACTGGGCCATATTAAAGGGGCACAGGAACTGGTTAGAAAAAGCTCCCACTGGCAAATGTGGGACAATGCAAGCATCAAAGAAACAATGATGGTAATGGATTACACTCTGAACCAACAATAAATCTCTAGTGATAAAAAAAAATTGGGTGAGAAAGCTAAGAGAGGAAAAGAGCTCTTTTGGATAGAATGTCAGCTATTTGGAAAATCACCTTTTGCAACCACTCATGTAATAATTAATTCAGGCAAGGGTCACTGCCAATGAATGCTAAAACATGGATGAAAAGTTGCTGAAGAACAGGATTTTCACTAGGCCTCAAATATCACTTACTAATTATAGGGACAAAAGGAGGTATGGAGCAAATAATCAAACTGAGTATCCCCAATACTGGGGTACCTCCTGATGTGACAAGATGAGAAGGTACATTACTCATGTAGTATTCTTGCCAGAAATGTTTTACCTGAATCTAAGGGTAATGGGCTAAGTCCAAATGGCAGGACATTATCCATGACAAGGCCTGGACTCTTCAAAACTGAAATCTCACAAAAGACACAAAAAAGGGTGAGGAGAGGGGTGGTCCAGATTTAAGGAGACAGAAGAAACATGGCGGCCAGTGACTGGACCCTTTATTGGATCCTGGTGGGAGGCGGGAGACGGAGGAGTATGATGGGGGAGTGTGGAGAAATGTGTGTTGGATTGTATTTTATGCTAACGGATAATACTATTGCATCATTGACAACTGTCCTGGATGTGATGTTGGTATCGTGGCCATGTAGGAGAATGTGCTTGTTCTTAGAGGAGACACCTGCTGAAACATTTAGGAGTAAAGTGTCATGTGTGCAACTTACTTTCAAATGGTTCCGGAAAACATACCTCTGTATGACCATGATGACCATGATGACCATGATGACCATGATGGTGACAGAGAAAGAGGGAAGAGAGCAAGAAGATGGGCAAATATGTAAGAGCAAGCAAACGTGGCAAAGGCTAACAACCGGTCAATAAGGGCAAAGGGTATATGGGTTATTACTGTATTATTGAAAAAAACCTTTTTCTTGTATTTTTGAAAAATTTCAAAATAAATTGCTAGGAAAAAAACCCAGACGGATATATTTTTGGCTCTTTCTTGCTTGAACAACAAATCTCATCACTTAGATGGCAGCAGTTAGATCTGACCAATTAGGGAATCAAAACAGAAATAAAACTGGTCAGTTTTTATTTTATTTTTTAAAATCTTTATTTATTTTGAGAGAGAGAGAGAACACGCAAGCGGGGGAGGGAAGTGAGAGGGAGAGAGGGAGAGAATACCAACCAGGCTCTGCACTGTTAGTAATGAGCCTGATATGGGGCTTGATCTCATGTATGGTGAGATCATGACCTGAGCTGAAATCAAGAGTTGGATGCTTCACTGACTGAGCCACCCAGGTGCCCCTAAACAAGACAGTTTTCATTGAGAACACAAGGAGTCAAATGACACCACAAAAGGCATGAGCAAAACTTGTCAGGGCACACAAGAGCATCTTTAAGCAGGCATCTGGGTGGCTTAGTCGGTTAAGTGTCTAGCTTATGAGATCAAGCCTTGCATCAGGCTCGTTGACAGTGAGGAGCCTGCTTGGGATTCTGTCTCCCTCTGTCTGCCTCTTCCCCATTCACACTTTTTCTCACTCTCTCAAAAATAAATAAACTTAAAAAAAACAGAATTATAGTGGCACTGTTAATGGCGTGGCCAACAGTAAGATAACCACTGGTGAAGGTGCCATGGATATCAAGTGTGTGAATGCACAAATATGGACTCTGAAAATAATGAGAATCAACTGTATATGAAACATATTCCTATTTTCATTCCTGTATACCACACATATTCTTCCTGTAAGTTAAAACCTTTTTTCAACCTTGAAACTGTTTCCTGTCTAGGGTTGTGATGTTGATTTATTTTGCCTTTCCCCAACTGTTTCTCTCAGTATTCTGTAAGCCCCATAGGAAAAAACCCACTTCTACTTTATCCTGTCAGCTTGCACTCTTCATTTGTTATGTGTCTTCTACTAGGTTTGCAGGAAGAAGAGATAACCTGTGTGATGCTTCTGGATGGTATTATCATTTAAACAGGTAGACTGAGTGCTGGAGGAGGTAATCAAGAGGACGTGACTGCCAGTTTACCTGTGAGCTGGACCTTGGCAAGTAGAGGTTCCTCAATGCTGTCCCTGTCCTTGGAATGTGTGTTCTGCCCACCATTCCCACAGCAGGCATTGATTTCAAGGACACAACCTTGAAAGAACAAAGTGTTGTTAAGACCATCTAGATGGTATGTGACTGAACCCAGTTCAGGTCTCTATACAGACTTAAGATTTTGGTGGGCAGGTACAAAGATCTACTTCTCTTGTGGCCACTCCAGATAAGCCTTGTAAGTAAGTTCCCTTGCTTGTTAAACCTGCCAACTACCAATCTGGGATGATCTGCCTCTTTTTTTGGTCTCTCCCTGCCCTCCATGTTATGGTGGCCAGTTTACTTCCAACACTGAGTACAGTAGACCGCCTTCCATAATGTGGGTGGGCCTTACCCAATCAGTTGAAGGACTGAGAAGAATAAAAAAGCTGACCCTCTCCTAAGAAAAAGAATTCTTCCTGCCTGATGGTCTTAAAAGGAGTATCAGCTTTTATCCTGCCTTTGGACTCAAACTGACATAAAGGATCTTCCTGTGTCTTAAGCCTACTGATCTTTGGACCAGAACTAAACGGTCAGCTCTTCTGGGTCTCCAGCAGACTCACCCTGGAGATCTTGAGACTTGCCAGCCTCCATAATTGTGAGCCAATTCCTCATAACAAATCTCTCTCCCTTTCTCCCTCTCCCTCTCTATACACATATCTACCCTCTTGGTTCTGTTTCTGTGGGGATCCCTGATTAATACATTGGGCAAGGAAAGCTCAAGTTGAGTCTAAAATTCCACCCATGAGTAACTGGAAGAAGAGCAGTGTGATTAACAGACATTTGGATACAATACGGCAGACATGTTGGGAAAGAAATGATGAGTCTGGCTTTGGTCATGCCAAATGGGACCGTGAGACAATCAACTGGGTAAATCCTACAAGCAGGAAAAATGCATGAACAGATGGGGTAAAGTGAAGCATGTGAACATCACATTCTGTATGTTTAGAATGGTCTCACCCAAATGGCTCAAACACATCTTTGGTAACCCTTTGCAATATGTAAGTCTAGAGTAGTAGGGGCAGTCGGTCTTTCTGCAGAAATGACTTCATTCTTGGTTTCAATACTATTTTATAACAGTCCACTGTAAAACAGACTATACATGGAAGAGCATAAAATATTTATTAGACTAGAGCAGAAACAATAACTTCATTCTTAACTGGTGTGAAAGTGACAATAATTACAAATAAAAAAACTAAGAAGAACTTAGAAGTCACAGACTGAACTAGAGTCCATGGATTAGGTTCAGGAGCAGATGAACCCTTGGCATTGTATATATACATACATCCATTTTTCTAGGGGAGCATTCACAACGGTTTCTAGTCAGATTCACAACGGTTCTGTGACCCAAGAAGCAATTAGATGTGAAACAGCTTTTCTTACTTTATTCCTTTAAATACGGCTATACAAATGACAGGATTTTATCTAATCTCACAGCATAGGAAGAGCACAGTAGAATAGTAAAAACAAACACACACCCTCTCTCCCAAATCGGGCATGTAGAAAATCTCCTTAAACTGGGTGTACTTTTTTTTCTTAATGTTTATTTATCTTTGAGAGAGAGAGAGAGAGAGAGAGAGAGAGAGAGAGAGAGAGAAAGAGAGAGAGTGGGAGAGAGAGAGAGGGAGGGAGTGGGAGTGAGTGGGGGAGATGCAGAAAGAGGGAGATACAGAACCTGAAGCAGACTCCAGGCTGAGCTGTCAGCACAGAGCCCGATGCAGGGCTCGAACCCACAAACTGCGAGATTATGACCTGAGCCAAGTCTATTTCCAGTAATCTACCCGAAATGAAGAGCTAGATAAGTGAACAAAGATATCTTACTCACAAGGATGTTCATCATGGCATTGTTTAAAGTCGCACACACCTTCAGCTCTAACAATAAAGGATTAGCAAAACAAATGAAGCAGTGCATTCAGTGGTGCCCTATGTGTCCATTTAAAAATGACGATGCTTGCGTGCTTTTACTGACTTGAAAGCTGTTAATTATAATTAGGAAGTCACAAAGTTATGAAGGATTAGAATTCCATTTATTGAAAATACACATTCTTATGTATCTGCAGAAGTAACATTCTGGAAGGATATACACGAAAATAATAGTGTTTCATGAGTAGAACTATGAATAATTTTTCTCCCCTCAAATATTATTACAGTAACTATAGATTATTCATGTAATAAAAAATGCAATACTTCCCTTGAACCAACCTTCCCAGTGGCAACAAAACCACTGATCATTCATCAATGTCCTATCTGTCTCTAGCTCCTCCCCTCTCTCCTTGTTGGGGAAAACAGGAGAACACTGCTTTTGAGAGCCCTCTACCCCTTCAAGTCCTACATTTACAAGAATAAATCACTGGTGCACAGCTGCATCTAGCACCTGGAGGGCTTACTCCAGTTCACGGCTGACACCTCTCACCTGAGGAAGATACACCAGTGTCACACAGAAATGAACAATGTGTGGGGTGGCGGGGGCCAACGAATGCACAAAGAGAGCCAAGACTTACTTTATAATCAGGAATAAATCTGCAAGTTTAGGCTTTCCACAGCCATAATACAGGGATCAATAGCGGTTGTTATCATTTTGCTGATGTTTGTTAACCAACCGTATAAACATTTTAACTGTTCAGGAAGAAGGGCAGGGAGAGGGGCGGGAGAGGGAAAAAAAAAAAACCCAAAAAACACCCAACATTTTAAGAGTCCAAAGTGATGACAAAGCACCTCTTTCTGTGGTGGAAACTCTGCCAGAGCCAAATGCAGGGATTTTACACCACTGTCACTGGAGGTGATGAGATTTCTCCCCCTCGCTTTTTATCAAACCTGGCAGATTTATATAGGATGTTTAAATGGTTTATTGTTATTATTTTTAGGTTGACAGGATAAGGAAATGGCTACGAGATGGGGGAAACCTACTCAGAGGCAATCGGTTTGTAGAAGAGAACACTGTAAATCAGTGCTCCATTGGGATAAAATCCACAAACCTAACTGTGATGCCCACACGATGTGACGCCCACACAGTCGTGTGGGGACAGCAACAGAACCGCTGTCTCTGTTTGTAGCTCCAGGTCGTGTGCTTCAGGAAAAGCATCATGAGCGTAGCCAGCTGCCTTAAGAACTCTAGCCCATGTCCAAAAGGGGCTCCGGAGACACACAAACTATGTAATTACAGGCCTGCCTGGAAGCCAAAGGTTGGCAGCTGATCTAAAAGGTAACAAGTGAAAACGTGCTACAAGCCCATGCATTCTACCACGCTGGGAAAGCATGCAGAAACACGAGCTGCCTCTGCGTGCAAGAGTTGCTCTCAGGAGCAGCAGTTTCAGAAAGCCCAGAAAGAGAAAGAGCTGGGGAAAGAGTATTTCTGAACAATCTGAGTGAGAGAAAGCCCAAGAACAATGACCACAGGTTCCTGAACACCTCCATCCCTCTGGCTTCCCGGCTAGATTCACACAATTGCCTTAATTCTGTTTTGCACCTTGAGATGTCCTAAGGAAAGCCGCTGTCCCTAAGCACTGACAACCTCCTGATTCTGGCATTCTGGACCCGCAGGGCGGAAAGTTCCACTCCACATGGAGGGGACCATGACAAGCCACTGCACCTGGCCTAAAGCACCTCCATCAGTTCACAGATATTATGCTGTCACACAGACATAAAACGTCCACTGAAATTAGGGCGCATGGTAGGCTCAGTCAGAAGAGCATGTAACTCTTTAAAAACAACTTTTTAAAATGTTTATTTATTTTTGAAAGAGAGAGAGAGAGACAGAGTGCAAGTGGGGGAGGGGCAGAGAGAGAGGGAGACACACAATCTGAAGCAGGCTCCAGGCTCTGAGCCCTCAGCACAGAGGCTGATGCAGGGCTCGAACTCACCAACCATGAGATCATGACCTGAGCCAAAGTTGTATGCCTAATCTACTGAGCCATCCAGGTTCCCTACAAGCGTGTAACTCTTGATCTCAGGGTTGTGAGTTCGAGCCCCACACCAGGTACAGAGATGAGTTAAAACAAAGAAAAATAATAATTAAAAAAATAAAGAAATAAATTTAAAAACATCCACGGAAATCATTCTCATGCTCACAAAGTCCAAACACTGATTTTCGTATTAATTCTAAAAGAATATGTTAAAGAACCTGGGGAATTAAAATCACTCATTCATAATTTACAAACTGGTTATCTGTGGCTTTTTAAAAATGGGCTTTTGGTGATTTTCAGAAATAATAACTTTACCCCTTCTCCATCTCCCGAGATTATAGCAATGAAACAATATGGTATTATTTCAGGGACCCACGAGGCTAGCATGTGGTTGGCGTTTTACTCCTCAATGTAAGAAGATAAGAACAACTTCCTAAGTGATGTGGAACAGCTTCTTTACTGTCGATAAATCTATTCTCTAATTACATACAAAGACATGTTTGTCTTTGACCCTGATTACATTAAAAATACCAGAAGTATCATTGCTTTGATGTGCATTACAGAAACACGACTCCCTAAGTGAATCTGATCCATTAATAACATCTCTTTAACTACTAATGATTTTTGCAGACATGGAATAGAACATTTTATGGCCGTTTTCAACCATCTGTCCTTCTTTCTCACTATGAATTTGCCAGAGATGTAGTGAAATTTCCTGTGCTTTGTGCCATTACACATTTGTTAATACCAACGTACCAATTAGACATAATAACCCTGCCACATGCTGTATGTAAGCTATACCCTGGCACTGCTCTAGGGACTGGAATCTTCTGTTTGCAAGATTCCTTTAGGCTACTCCTTGAGCCAGGTGGGGGTCTAACCTACTGTGTAGCAGCACATATGGACCCAAGATGTGTACAGCTAATGAATCATGAGCTAATCTGTCATAGAATAAGAACATCCAGCTGCATTAAAGATGCCACACTTTAAAGAGTTAAATATGAGAGTTAAAATTGCAATCCTTTTCTCATTAATGAATGATAACCTATATTAACATATTTGAAATTCCACTAAATTATAATATTGAAGAGAGCACTTAATGAGTATGAGTGATTAGTAACTCATCATGTCATATTTTAAGGGTTTTTTTTGTTTACAGAC